GGAGGGAGGGAGGGAGGGAGGGAGGGAGGGAGGGACAGACTCCAGGGTGTGGAGTGTTATTGTAGCTGGAGAACTGTTTGTGTATTAGAATCATTGTTTTATTTGTTTTGTTTTTGTTTTTGAGACAGGATTTCAATGGCCTGGAACTGAATACATACACTAAGCTGGCCTTGAACTCACAGAGTTCCACCTGCCTCTGCTTCCCAAGTGCTGGGATTAAAGGTGAATGGTAGCACACCTGGTGATTACCATGTTTTTGAGCAAGAGCTGAACGAGTCTTTCCAGCATGATGATCAAGGAACAAATTCTAAACTTCCTTGTTGAAGCTGGAGAGGAAGCACAGCAATTAATAGCACATACTGCTTTTGCAGAGAACCTCAGTTTGGTCCCCAGCAGCCACATGGCAGCTCACAACTACTTGTAACTCTCGGGATCTGAGGGCACTTCACACACACACACACACACACACACACACACACACACACACACACACACACACAGGCTATAAATCCTTACCTTTCAGGAAAAGAATTCTGGCAGATGGTTTGAACTAGTCAGTCACATCCTTGTGTCTCGGAATCTGAGCCACTTGAAAGGATGGATGGGGAAATGAGTCTCCATCAAGATGTCTGCGACCAGAATCACCATGCTTGTGATCCCAGCACATGGAGGCTGAAGCAGGAAGATTCCCAAGTTCAAGTCCAGCCAGGGTTACAAAGTAAGACTTTGAATCACAAATCCAAAAAGAAAGAAGAGGAAGAGGGATTGGAGGGTAGAATGAAGAGGGTGCTGAGGAAATTTTAAAAATAGAGGAGGATGGAATTTGCTGCCTCGTAACTTAGAGGCCTCCCTTAGGGCCCTTAGCAGCCAGGGCCTCTCCTCTCAGCCCAAGCCCATCGGAATGTTCTGCATCTTCTGGGGTCACAGACCTGCCCCTGAAATCCCTGTTTGACATTGCCTCCATTCCATTCCCCCTGCCCCAGCCTGGTCCAGAGAACTTTAAACGTGGCTCCTGATGTTGACGAAGAAGACAGATGTGAGCAGAGCATGCAGGGGATGGTGCTGGCCTGTGGTGTTGGAGGGAAGGTGGAAAGGGTCTTCCCTCCCTCCCTCCCTCCC